TAATGAATGCATCAGTGAGTGGGCCAAGCCCTGGCTGAGTGCTCACTTGGTTGGAGCATCCTCCTGTACACCAAATGTTTTCGGGTTCAATTCCCAATCAGGGCACATACCTGGGTTGCAGGTTTGATCTCGTGTTGGGGCACATAGGGGAGTCAATGGATCAATGGTTCTTCCTTCCTCTCTCTAAAAACCAACAAACATATCCTTGGGTAAAGATTTTAAAAAGTGAAACAGCAACAACTAAAAATGAACGTTTCTTTCTCTCCTTCCCTCTCTCAAATCAATCAATTAAAATTTAGAAATAATAAATAAGAATTTAAAAGACAAAATAAAAACAGAGATTCCTATGACGCCCTCTTCAGGTTAAATTAAATTGCTAGAGCTGTTGGTGGCAACCCACACCAGTTGTTCCTAGTGATTTGACCTCGGCTCAGGAAAGTGTTTTGTTTTTTTTAATTGATTTCAGAGAGGAAGGGAGAGGGAAAGATGGAAACATAAGAGAATCATTGATTGGCTGCCACTGCACACCCCCCTACTGGGGATCCAGCAGCCAGACATGTGTCCTTGACTGGAATCCAACCCTGTACCCTTCAGTCTGCAGGCCAATGCTCTATCCACTGAGCCAAACTAACCAGGGTTTACTGTTCTTTTAAAAAAAAAGATATAACAAATAAATACATGAAAATAGCCAAAATTGATAGCCAATTAGGCTGAACATATGATCACACATTTTACCCAATATACAGATATGTAGCAAATACACATCTGAAAAAAAAGGCTCCCCATAAATCTGTTGGGAAATGAAATCAAATAACAGTGTGTAGCACAACAAAGTTATAAAAAGGGTTGAAATAAAGAATGATTGACCAAACCAAATATTCTCTAGGATGTAGAGCAGTGATGGCGAACCTTTTGAGCTCAGCGTGTCAGCATTTTGAAAAACCCTAACTTAACTCTGGTGCCGTGTCACATATAGAAATTTTTTGATATTTGCAACCATAGTAAAAAAAAAAAAAAGTATATTTTTGATATTTATTTTACACATTTAAATGCCATTTAACAAAGAAAAATCAAGCAAAAAAATGAGTTCGCGTGTCACCTCTGACACGCGTGTCATAGGTTCGCCATCACTGATGTAGAGGAACTGACTCCCTCATAAATTGCTGGAAAAATGTAAAAAGTATAATCAGTTTATACCACAACTTGCTAATACTGTTAAGTTAAATATTCACAGGACTCAGACTATTCACTGAGTTATTGACAAAAGTAAACAAAAACATATCTATATAATGATACACATACGCTTGTACCAGCTTTATTTTTAAAAATCTATTTAAAAATAAATAAAAATCTGCCGTAACCGGTTTGGCTCAGTGGATAGAGCGTCGGCCTGTGGACTCAAGGGTCCCAGGTTCGATTCCGGTCAAGGGCATGTACCTGGGTTGCGGGCACATCCCCAGTGGGAGATGTGCAGGAGGCAGCTGATCGATGTTTCTCTCTCATCGATGTTAAAAATCTATTTATTTTAGAGATAGACAGTAATAGAGACAGAAACATACATTTGTTTTTCCAATGTTTATGCATTTATTGGTTGATTCCCCAATGTGCCCTGAAAGGGGATTGAACCCGCAACCTTGACATATCAGGAGAGCGCTCTAACAAACTGAGCTACCCAGCCAGGGCCCAGATTTATTTTCAATAGTCAAAAAGTAGAAATAACCCAATGTGCATGTACAAAATGAATGGATAAACTAATGGTTTATATATTTGAAGGTAATATACTCAAAGATAGTATTTCTCTGGAAAAGAAATGAAGAGGTACTAATACATCATTAAATACATCTTCAACTATTTATGCAACAGAACTGAAGGCAGAAAATCCACTTTTATTGCCATCATATAAATTCTATGAAATGCAAAGTCAGCTATTAAAATGAAAAGTAAATTAATGACAAGGAGAGATTATAAAAGGACATGAAGTAAATAGTAACACATATGGTTAGTATTATGACTATGGTGATGGTTTCAGCTTAATACATGTCAAAATTCATCAGATATTATACTTAAAATGTCATTTACCACATGTATATTATACCATACTAATAAAGATTTTTTAAAATGTCTCAAGATTAAAAAAATTATCTTCAACTCTTTAAAAATACAGTTTGCAACTCTATATTCAATCCACGTCCTCATAACCCCTGGGGGTCAGTCTTTCTTAGTGACAACAAGTATATCAAACAATGGACTTCCATTGAAATCAACAGGAATGCCGGCTGGGTAACAAATGTCATATCCCTGGAATGTGACCCCTTTTCTTTATCTTTGATTTCCTGCCTGGGCATCAATGGTCTTGAGGTGAACATCTGAGACCCTATAGAAATTCACACATACAAAAGTGTTGACATTTTCTTTTATTTTTTAAATATATCTTTATTGATTTCAGAGAGGAAGGGAGAAGGGACAGAAACATCAATGATTAGAGAATCATTGATTGGTGGCCTTCCGCAGGCCCCGTACTGGGGATCGAGCTTGCAACCTGGGCATGTGCTCTGACCGGGAATCAAACCATGACCTCCTGGTTCATAGATCAACACTCAACCACTGAGCCATGCCAGCCGGTCCACAAATTTTTTTTGTAAAAAATAGAGATAGAAACAGCAATGAGAATCAACCCTAGCCTGTTAGCTCAGTGGGTAGCGCATCAGCCTGTGGACCAAAGGTTCCTGGGATCAATTCTGGTAAAGGGCATGTACCTTGGTTGCAAGCTACTTCCCGATGGTCAGGTCCCATGCAGAAGGCAACCAGTAGATGTGTTTCTCTCACATCAATATTTCTCTGTCTTTCCCTCTCTGTAAAAAAGATCAATGGAAGAATATCCTTGGGTGAAGATCAACAACAAAAAAATTAAAATGACGAGAATTACTGATTGGCTGCCTCCTGCGCATGCCCTACTGGGGATCTAGCTCACAAGCCAGGCATGTGCCCTGACCAGGAATCAAACTGTGACCTCTTGGTTCATAGGTCAATGCTCAACCACTGAGCAATACTGTCCAGGCCTAAAAATCTTTTGATTATCTTCGATGAAAATGATGTAAGTCACAGAAGATAAACACGCCTGGAGATCCTCAGATTTGTGTACACAGATACATTCTTTTTCGCAGAAACATTTCTGGATGCACATTTAGAAGAGGCACATTCCATCCAGTTGGATGCAGTCTCCAACAATACCAATTAGGCCAGTGATTCTGTAGAAATCGTGGTTTTCCCCTCACCCCTACGTCCCCACACCAGTTGCCATCAACCACGTAATTGTAGACATATGGGCACATGGCTCTTTATAAGAACTTGAAAAATAATTCCCTTCAAAACTATTGACATACCTTGTAAACAAGGTATAAATTAATGCTGCTCCCAGAAGCACTTGAGGTTGCAACACCTGACCCTCCTTAGGGTGATTTCTGAGGCTCCTAAAGTTCATAGCATTTAGGCTTCACATGACCAGAAAGCCCTGCAACCTTTCCTCAAAGGATGTGAACAGTAACGCAAATTTGCCAAAAACCTGGTGAGCTAGTTTCTGTCACCAGGACATCCCCTGTGATACAGAGGAATTTTGAGTCCCCCCAATAAAATGTTGTTTGTAGAACCCAAATTTGCTTATAAGTTATGCCACACATTAACTAGGATACCCAAGATTGAAGAGTCCTTAAAACAGTAAGATACTCATTATTTTACAAACCAAAGGAAGACGGACCTGGTACTTCTTGCATTGGTGACTTGGAAATTGGAAATGTTCGTCACAGGTATCCAAGGAAACCAGGTCCCTGAAAAAGTCCTTCTCAAGCTGCCAGCTGAATTCAGATGACGTTCTCTGGGTTATCACCGAGTCAGGTCCATTCCCCAACTATTCGGAGTGAACAGAATGCAGGTCCCCTAAGTGCTCAGGCCATTTCTAATTTCCTCCAACAAACCAAGAAACAGAGTAAGCTGCCTTGAGCACATTAGTCTGGTGACTGATGCAAACTGTGGGAATCTTCTAGATGTTATCGGTGAAACAGCTTCGACCAGAAACATCTGTAGTGACATAAATCTGGCAAGAGATGTGTGTAGATCAGAAAGTGCAACGTAGACACATATGCTTCCCACATAACTAAAACTTACGGGGAACCTCCCTACTGTTGATGTTTTATGCCTGAAATTAAATTCAGACAAACGGAACCTCAGTGTTTCCTCCAGTGTTACTAACACTGAAAACAAAAAACACAAGCAAACAAACAAAACCACCTTGGAAGGCCTACACATCTAAGGCCTTCCCCCAGTGTGAACTCTCATGTGCTGAGCGAGGTTAGATTTTCGGCTAAAAAATTTGCCACATGCAATGCAATCAAAAGGCCGTTCTCCCGTGTGAACTCTCTGATGATATTGGAGGGTGGAACGAGAAGTAAAAGATTTCCCACATTCACTGCATTCGTAAGGCCTTTCTCCTGTGTGAGATCTCTGGTGAATAATGAGGTGAATTCTTTGGGTAAAGGATTTCCCACATTGACTGCACTCATGAGGCTTTTCTCCTGTGTGAACTCTACGGTGTCGAATGAGTATGGAGCTATTTGTAAAACTCATCTCACATTCATTGCACTTGTAAGGCCTTTCTCCTGTGTGAACTCTCTGATGATATCCAAGGGCAGAGACAGAAGTAAAAGACTTCCTACATTCACTGCACTCATAAGGCCTTTCTCCAGTGTGAATTCTCCTGTGTTTAGAGAGGTACGAATTCTGGCTAAAGGTTCTCCCACAATCAGTACATTCGTAAGGTTTTTCTCCCGTGTGAACCCTCTGGTGTTGATTCAACTGGGAACTATCCCTAAAAGATTTCCCACATTCGTTGCAGTCAAAAGGCCTTTCTCCTGTGTGAACTCTGTGATGACAACGGAGGGCGGAGCTAGAGATAAATGACTTCTCACATTCATTACACTCAAAAGGCCTTTCTCCAATGTGAACTTTCTGATGATAACGAAGGGAGGAGCCAGAGGTAAAGCATTTTCCACATTCACGACACTCATAAGGCCTCTCTCCTGTGTGAACTCTCTGGTGTATATTGAGATGATTTCTTTGGGTGAAAGTTTTCCCACATTCACTGCATTTATAAGGCCTTTCTCCTGTGTGAACTCTGCGGTGTCGAATGAGTATTGGTCCATTGGTAAAAGATTTCCCACATTCACTGCACTCATAGGGTTTTTCTCCGGAGTGAACTCTCTGATGATAACAGAGGGCAGAGCCAGAGGTGAAAGATTTCCCACATTCACTACATTCAAAGGGCTTTTCTCCAGTGTGAACTCTCTGATGTTGGGAGAGATAAGATTTGTGGCTAAAGGATTTTCCACACTCACTGCACTCATAAGGCCTTTCCCCTGTGTGAATTCTTCGGTGTATAATGAGGTGATTTATTTGAGTAAAAGATTTCCCACAATGACTACACTCAAATGGCCGTTCTCCTGTATGAACTCTCTGATGATAACGGAGGCCAGAGCTAGAGGTAAAAGACTTCCCACATTCATTGCAACTATAAGGCTTTTCTCCACTGTGAACTCGCTGATGATAACGGAGGGCAGAGCTGGAAGTAAAAGACTTCCCACATTCATTACACTCATAAGGCCTCTCTCCTGTATGAACTCTCCCGTGTTCAATGAGGTCCAATTTCCGTTTAAAGAATTTCCCGCATTCGGTGCACTCAAAACTCATTTCTCCAGAATAAACTGTCTGTTGTTGTGGAATAAGAGCAGAGCTTTGCCTGAAAGATGGTGCACATTCACAGCAGACGTAACAACTTTCTCCAGTGTGGCTTCTCTGAGGATAAATGAGGACAAATTTTTGGTTAAAGGATTTCCCGCATTTGCCGCACTTGTGCTGCCTCGCCGCAGAATGAATTCTTCGGTGTTGAGTGAAGGCTGAGCTTCCCCTAAAGGATTTCCCACAGTCATCACATACATGAATTCTGTCATCATCATGGACTCTCTGGTGAATAACAAATGAGGATTTGTACCTGAATGTTTTCCCACACTCACGGCACACAAAACACTGTTTTTCAATGTGCACTCCCGAGTCCTGAACATGTGCGTGTTTGGGACTGAAGGCTTTCTCACATTCTTCACTAGTATAGTTACTTTTTCTGTGCTGAAGAGTCCCCCTACTTTTGGAGATCTTGTTTGGTTTCTCTCCGGTGTGAGTGGCTTGTTGGAGATGTCCTGAGGAGGTCAGGCAGTCCTTTCCAACCCCCTCACAGGTAGAGGGCTTCTGTGACACATGGAAATTGCAGCTCTTTACAAATGAGGATCTATCCACAATACTTAGGAGGAGTTTCTCTCCCGTGAGCTGCTCCTGGTCATGTTGACAGTTTGCACTGAAATAAAATTGTTTTCCACATGCCCCACACCTCAGTCTGTGCAGTGTTTCCTGGTGCTCAGTCAAACGGAAGATATCTGTCAAGACTGGACCACACATCTCACAGGGGTGGGTCTTCTGGGAAGACTGAGATTCCCTTGAAGTCCTGGCCTGTGACACTCCCACAGGAATGCTCTGTTCAGATGGTGCCTCCACATTCTTTGTTCCACAACAGCAACCTAAGTGCAAAGAAATGATGGTAAATTACACAATGACTTTATTGGCAAGGGGCAACCCAACCACAAATGTGTAAAAGTTCCCCAAAAAAGAGCAAGGGTAACTATGATTATGTCAGATAACATGACTTTAAGTCAAAAACTGTCACAAGAGACAAAGAACTTCTTTATATAATGATAAAGCAGCCAAGTCATCAAGAAAATGTAACTGTTATAAAAGTACATATGTAACCAATATCAGAGCACCTAACTATATTTAAGAAGTACTAACTGATCTGAAGAAAGAAATAGACAGCAATGCAATAATAGTTGGTGACTTCAATACTCCACTTTCAACAATGGATAGATCACCCAGACAAAAATATAAGCAAAAGAATATCGAATCTAAACTTTTCTTAAGAGCAAATGGACCTGGCCCTGGCCAGGTAGCTCATTTGGTTACAGTGTGGTCCTGATATGCCAAGATTGCAGGTTCAATACCTGGTCTGGGTACATACAAGAATCAACCAATCGCCTGACTGGTTTGGCTCAGTGGGTAGAGCGTCGGCCTGTGGACTCAAGGGTCCTGGGTTCGATTCCGGTCAAGGGCATGTACCTTAGTTGCGGACACATCCCCAGTGGGGAGTGTGCAGGAGGCAGCTGATCGGTGTTTCTCTCTCATCGATGTTTCTAACTATCCCTCTCCCTTCCTCTCTGTAAAAAATCAATAAAATAAAATAAAATAAAAAGAATCAACCAATGAATTGATTCATAAATAAGTGGAACAAAAAATCAGTATTTCTCCCTCTCTTCCTCTGCCCTTTCTAAAATCAATAAATAAAAAATTGAAAGACAACAGATATATACAGAACATGGAGCAGAATACACATTCTTCTCAAGTGCAAAATGAACATATAACAAATCATATTAGGTCACAAAACAAGTCTTAACATGTTAAGAACCCAGTCAGTCACCGGTGACTGACACTATACTTTCCATCTGGAAGACAAAACAGGTTTGGCACTTAACGTGTTAACAAACTTAAGAAGGCTGAAATCATATCAAATGTCTTTTCCAAACAACATGGCATGAAACTGGAAATCATCAGAGGAAGAAAGCTGGAAAATAAGAAATATGTAAAATTTAAGCAACAAACTCCTGAAAAATCAATGGGTCAAAGATATCAAAAATACATATTCAGACAAATGAAAATGGAAACATAACACACCAAAATGCAACAAAAGAAGCAGAGGTAAGGTTATAGTAATAAATGCCTACCTTAAGATAAAAGAAAGATCTCAAACAACCTGCCTTTATATTTTAAGGTATAAAAAACAACAACAACCCTCGCAGGTTTGGTTCAGTGGACAGGGTGTCTGCCTGCAGACCGAAGGGTCTCAGGTTCAATTTTGGTCAAGGTTACTACCTCAGTTGCAGGCTCCTCCTTGGCCCTTGCCCTAGTCAGGGCCCGTGCAGAGAGCAACAAATCAATGTGTTTCTCTCACATCGATATTTCTCTCCATCTTTCCCTCTCTATTCCACTCTCTCTCTAAAAATCAATGGAAAAATCCTTGGGTGAGGATTAAAAAAAGAAGAAGAAAAAAACAACAAACTAAGGTCAAAGTTAGTAAAGAAAGCAAATAACAAAGATAGCAGAAATAAGTGAAAAGGAGAGAGAGAAAAACAACTGAAAAGATTCATAAAAAAGAATTGGTATTTTGAAAGGATAAACAAATTGATAAGCATTTAGATAAACTAAGTGAAAAGACACATAAGATCAGAAATAAAAGGAGATATCACAACTGGTAGTACTGGAATGCAATGCTATTTAATAAAAGGCTAATTATTCGAAGTATCCCCACGGGCGGGAGTTTGACCAACCGGGAGTTAGATGTGCGCTGACCACCAGGGGGTGGCGCGGAACATGGTGGGTGTCAGCGACTGGGCGCTGGCAGTGGGCGGCAGTGGAGGCACTGCCGGCCCCGATGGGCCCTGACGAGAGTGGGACTGCAGCAGGACGATGGAGCAGGTGAGCGGGTGGTGCCAGGCTACTGCGGGGGTGAGCAGGGGGCCCCGATTACCCCACCGGTTGCCCCTCAGATCGGTCCTGATCGCTGGACAGGCATAAGGACCCTACCCATGCACAAATTTTGTGCATTGGGCCTCTAGTAGGAAAGTAAAATAAAGAACACCCAAATTAGAATGGAAGAAGGAAAACTGTCTGTTTGCAGATGACATCATCTTACATATAGAAAACACTAAAGACTCCACCAAAACACCCTTAGAATTAATCAATGAATTCAGTAAAGTTGCAGGATTAAAAAAAAAAAAATCAATATACAAAACTCAGTTGCCACGGCCAGTTAGCTAAGTTGGTTAGAGTCATCCCAATATGCCAAGGTTGCAGGTTCAATCTTCGATCAGGGCACATAAAAAGCATCAACCATGCTCAGTGGATAGAGCGTTGGCCTGTGGACTGAAGGGTCCTGGGTCAGATTCAAGGGCCCATGCCTGGGTTGCGGGCTCGATTCCCAGTGGGGGACATACAGGAGGCGACCAATCAATGATTCTCATCATTGATGTTTCTCTCTCTCTCCCCCTCTCCCTTCCTCTCTGAAATGAATATATATATATATATGTAATATATATATATTTTTTAAACAGTAACCAATCTATCATAATAAAAGCATAATATGCTAATGAGACCAAATGTCCTTCTGAATGACCTTCCAGACGAAGCCAGGGTGCCAGACGGAAGCTGGAGCTGGCAGCCAGGAAAGGAAGGCCTACTCTTGCATGAATTTCGTGCATCGGGCCTCTAGTGAATGCATACTAGTAAACAAGTGGAACAACAAATCAATGTTTCTCTCTCTCTGTGCCTCTCCCTCCCTCCTCTATAAAAACAAACAACCTATTATTTTCCCTCCCAGGAAAACACCTGTGTCTTTCTCTTTCCTCTATTCTTTCTCCATACCCATGCATCTCCTAAACAAAAAGGGAACCCCTGAGACTTGCAACCAGGGAGCAATGGCGGCAGCAGCTTGTCCAGGCCAACCCCCTAAGCCTGTCCCCAAAGCCACATTTTCTGACTTCTTAGTGAGCCAAAGTGGCCTGGCTCAGCTCATTTCCCCACCTAGTCCCTCTCCTGTTGCTTCTTCTATCCTAGGCCCTTCCTTGTTTCACTGTCCCCAGATTTAATAAATATCTTCTAAAAACAACTAAAAACAAAACAAACAAAATGTATTAGAAAAATTTTAAGACAGCTGTGTTTATATACACTAATAATAAACTATCTGCAAAGAAAATTTTTAAAATCCCATTTAAAATAGCATCAATGCCCTTCAATGGAGTGAAGGTCGTCCCATGCACCAAGAGGTCACCACATTGGTTCCTGGTTAGATTCAGGTAGAGCACATGCTGGGTTTGGGATCTTGATCCCCAATAGGGGACGTGCGGGAGGCAGCCAAATGATGTTTCTCTCTCATGAGTGTTTCTATCTCTTTCTCATCTCCTTTCCTCTCTAAAATAAATAAAAGCATATTTAAAAAAATAAATCCATGAAAAAATATCCTGATGTGAGGATTAACAATAAAAAAAAATAGCATAAAAAATACTCAGGAATAAATTTAACCTAGGAGGTGAAAGATCTTTATTCTGAAAATTATTGAATAAGTCACAAATAAATAGAAAAATATCCAGTGTTTTTGGATTGAAAGAATATTGTTATGTCCATTTTACCCAGGTAATCTCCCCAGTGTGATCTACAGATTCTATGTAATTCATATCAAAATTCCAATAACATTTTTCATGGATACAGAAAAAAGAACCCACTAGACTTAGGATGATGAACATAGTGGACAGATGGTGTATTATAGAATTGAAGCCAGTGTTATTTTGTTAACCAGTGTCACCCCAATAAATTCAATAAGAAGGGAGGGTGATCCTAAAATCCATATGGAACCACACACAAAAAATCCAAATAGCCAAAGCAATCTTTTAAAAAAATATATACATGTTTTTATTGATTTTGGAGAGGGAGAGAGAGGGACAGAGAGACAGAAACATCAACGATGAGAATCATTGATTGGCAACCCGGGCATGTGCCCTGACCGGGAACGGAATCATGATCTCCTGATTCATAGGTTGATGCCAGCCAGGCAGCAATCTTAAAAAAAAGAAAAAAGAAAAGAAAGAAAAAAAAACACGCAAAGCTATTTCAAAAACGCACTTCCTATTTCAAAATATTGCAAGGCTGTAAGTAATCAAAACACTATGGTACTGGCATAAAAATAGACCAATGGAAAACAGCAGAGCCCAGAAATAAACCCATGCGTCTATGGTCAAATAATCTTTGACGAGGGACCCAAAAACACACAATGAGGAAAGGACAGTCTCTTCAATAAATGATGATGAGCCCTGGCCAGGTAGCTCACTTGGTTACAGCATCATCCCAATACACCAAGGTTGCGGTTTGATCCCAGGTCAGGGTACATACAATAAGAATGAATCAATTAATGCATAAATAAGTGGAACAATAAAGTGATGTTTCTCTCTCTCTCTCTCTCTCTCTGATTAATAAAGGAAAAATAAACAAGTGATGAGATAAACGGATAATTATGTGCAAAAATTAAAAGTAACTTGAATGTAAAAAATATTTAAGACCTGAAATTGTTAAACTTTTAGAAGAAAACGTAAAGGAAAAGCTCCTTGACATTGGTGTTGGCAATGATTTTTTTGGATATGAAAGCAACAGCACAGACAACAAAAGCAAAAATAAACAAGTGGGCTATATGAAACCAGAAAGCTTCTACACAGCAAGAGGCATAATCAACAAAACAAAAAGGCAACCCAAGAAACAGGAGAAAATATTTGCAAACGATGTATCCAATAAGGGGTTAATTCCAGAATACAAAGCTCTGACTGGTATGGCTCAGTTGGTTGGAGTGTCGTCCCATGAACCAAAAGGTCACAGGTTTAATTCCCAGTCAGGGCACATACCTGGGTTGCAGGCTCGATCCCCCGCCCCAGATGGGGAATGAGTGTGAGAGGCAACCCCATCCATGTTTCTCCCTCTCTCTTTCTCTCTTTCTTTCTCTCTCTCTCTCTAGCGCCTCTCTCTCTCTCTCTCTCTCTCTCTCTCTCGCGCCTCTCTCTCTCTCTCTCTCTCTCTCTCTCGCGCCTCTCTCTCTCTCTCTCTCTCTCTCTCTCCCTCTCTCTCTCCTTCCATTACTCCCTTCCCCTATCTCTCTAAATAAATAAATCAATGAACCTGTCCTCAGGTGAGGAAAAAAAATCCAGAATGCATATATAAAGAACTCAAGCAATTCAACAACAAAAGAACAATTCAATTAAAAATGGCAGAGGATGTGTATAGACATTTATTCAAAGACATACAAATGGCAAAGAGATACCACAAAAATGCAAATTCAAACCATGAGATACCACCTCACAGCTGTTAGGATGGCTACTAACAAAAACAACAACAACAAGAGATAAAAAGTATTAACCAGGATGTGATAGAAAGGAAACCTTTGTACACTGTAGGACGGCACCTCAATATAGCCATTAAGACCAACTGTAGGGAAGTTCCTCAAAACATTCAAAATAGAACTACCATATGGTCCAACAATCCCACTTCTGTTATACTTTATCCAAAAGAAACAAAAATCAGTATCTGAAAAAGGTATTTGCACTCCTATGTTTACTGCAGCATTATTCATAATAATGGTAAGAAATTACTTAAAGAATCTGTCAGCAGCCCTAACCGGTTTGGCTCAGTGGATGGAGCGTCAGCCTGCGGACTGAAGGGTCCCAGGTTCGATTCCGGTCAAGGGCATGTACCTTGGTTGCGAGCACATCCCCAGTAGAGGGTGTGCAGGAGGCAGCTGATCGATGTTTCTCTCTCATTGATGTTTCTAACTCTCTATCCCTCTCCCTTCCTCTCTGTAAAAAATCAATAAAATATATTTTAAAAAAAAGAAACAGAGAAAAAACTTAGGGAGATTCCTAACATTTGGAAATGTCAGTGTCTGAGTATGCTTTCACATTATATGGATGTGGGTCTGTTATTCAGCCATAAAAAGAAAATCATGCATTTGTAACAACATCAATGAACCTGAAGGACATAATGCAAAGTGAAATAAGCCAGACTGAGAAAGACAAATACTGTATAATATCACTTATATGTGGAATCTTAGAAAAAAGAGTTGAATCATAAAAACAAAAAGAATGCCAGGGACTGGGGGTTAAGGGAAATGGGGAGATATTGGTGAGTTACAAAATTAAGTTCTGAGACTCTAATGTAAAACATGGTGACTATACTAATAATAGAGGAATATGCAAATTGCCCAGGACACTGTCACAGTAATAGTAACGACCGAACAGCAGGCTGCGTGGGGTGACCAGGCCGGAAGGGGGCAGCAGTGAGGGGTGACCAGGCGGGGTGATCAGGCTGGCAGGGGGGGCAGTTAGGAGCCAATGGTCCTGGATTGTGAGAAGAATGTCTGATTGCGGTTTAGGCCCAATCCCTGGGATCAAGCCTAAACCGGCAGTCAGACATCCCCCGAGGGGTCCCAGATTGGAGAGGGGGCTGGCTGGGCTGAGGGAACCCCCCACTGCACGAATTGCGTGCACCAGGCCTCTAGTAGTTAATAATGCTGTACTGTATACTTGAAATTTGCTAAGAAACCAAATATTAAGTGTTATCTCACACATGAAAAAGGTAAATACAATAGTCTTCTCCAATCATGGGTGATACATTCCAAGCAACCATGAGTAGTATCCAGCCCCGTACGTAAGGTGATGGATGTGTTCATTTGATTGTACTAATCATTTCACAATGTATATGTACAATAAATCACATTATACATTTTAAATATGCACAATAGTATTTGTCAATTATACCTCAATAAAGCCAGAAAAAAAGATCTAAATACTATAAATAGAACCATCCAGGACAGTCTTAAAAAATAACCCATGGAGCCCTAGCTGGTGTGGCTCAGTGGATAGAGCATTGGCCTGCAGACTGAAGGATCCCGGGTTTGATTCTGGACAAGGGCACATGCCCGGAATGTAGGCTCAATCCCCAGCAGGGGGCGTGCAGAAGGCAGTCATCATTGATGTTTCTATCTCTCCCTCTCCCTTCCTCTCTGAAATCAATAAAAAATATCAAAAAATTAAAATAAATAAATAAAAAATAACCTATGGGACTGGTAAATAATGACCATGATGATGCCTGTAATTGCCAGCACAGGCCAGCACAAGAAAATGTCAAATAAAAAAGGGGGGGAACTGAAGTGCCATCTACCTGGATACATGGCCCAGCCAGGTGGGTCATTAGGCTCCTATGACTGTACAGCATGTATTCAGGCTGCAGGGAGAGATGAGGGCCGTGCAAACAGGCCCTACCAAGGACAGCAACTGCCCAGAAAACCAGGGAGGCAAGCAGAGCCCACAGTCCACATGTGAGGACAGAGCGCCCCCTGGGGAAAGGGGGACATGGGGCCAGTCCAGGTCACTGGGGAGAGTGAGGGTCTTACCTTGAGAGGAAACAAGTGCAAAGTTCTCCAGCATCACATCAAGGTACAGGCTTCTCTGAGCCTCAGCAAGGAGGCGCCACTCCTCCTTGGAGAAGTGCAGAGCGACATCCTCAAAGGTCACAGGATCCTGTCAGGATTTCAACAAATAAAACCATGAACAGTGTCTCTCGGTACCCAACTCCTCATACATATTTCCATTGCTCATCCTCTAGGGCTCCCACCTCAGAGGAGATACCAGGCCCTGGTGCCGGTGATGCTATCTGTCACAGTGCCATTAATCACTGTTCTCGCTCTCAGCAACAACAGCCTGACGCGTAGGGGGGAAAGGGGGAGAACGCAGATAAATGTTATCTAAGCTCTGAACCGGGCCTGCACCCCTCCTGAGAAACAATTTACCTGGGGTTTAGACACAGCCAAAAATTTGATTGCTTGTTCAGTCCAACAGCTCTGCCACCTTCTGATCCATACCACAGGCATATCACTGGACTCAGCCATGTACTTGGCACATGACACCCAAAGGGTGCACAATCCCAGTCCTCTGAGGGATCTCCCAGCCACGAAAAGCCCCAAATGAGACTCTGAAGACCTCCCTGCCCGCCTCTGATATTTACTTCTATATTAGCCACCCAGAACCACATGTGAATTTCAGATGATAACCCCCTTCTATTTTCTGCACGGTACCTGATATCCACACAGCAGCCACAACCTCCTCCCTCCACCCGACCTCCCTTACAGGTACAGTGACACAATGACCACATTTGTCCCAGACCTTACCCACTGGCAAGGTATAAACTCCCCAGATTCCATCCAAACTCACCACAAAGTTCTGGTGAATCCATACAGTAGTGGATCAACAAGAAGCCCTGTCCTCTAGTGTCATTCCTCTTTTTTTAAAAATATATTTTTACTGGTTTCAGAGAGGAAGGGAGAGGGAGAGAGAGAAACATCAATAATGAAAGAGAACTACTGATCAGCTGCCTCCTGCGCGCCCCCTACTGGGGATCGAGCTCACAACCCGGGCATGTGCCCTTGACTGGAATCGAACCCGGGACCCTTCAGTCCGCAGGCTGAAGCTCCCAAACCGGCTAGGGCTAGTGTCATCTCTTTTTTTTTCTTTTTTTTTTTTTAAATATGGAACACTTCACGAATTCGCATGTCATCCTTGCGTAGTGTCATCTCTTAATTGCTCCTCTGCCTTCGTGGCTATCCCATGGAAGCCTGGGCTTCCCCCGCCCCCCGCCAGATCAACCTCCCTCCCACACCATTCCCGCCATCGCCTCCCTCCTCAGCATGCACTCTCTTCTTTCTGATCCCATAATTAGCATTACCACCACGAACTGCATTCCCCTTCTTACATGTGATCCATCACCGCCCTGGTGCCACAATGAGAGCCATCCCTTTTGCATGTCTCCATCATGAAACCCTCCCAGATTTCCAGGCCTGTGTGTCCCGTTAGCCACTCTGTTCTCTGAAACTTCTCAGACCAACAATGACAAGCGTTATTGGATGAAGATGCGTGTCAAACTCAAAAACAACTTGCAGAAAGATTAAACGTTGCTCAGCAAACATTTTCTGATTGTTTACAAGCAATGGGAACGATTTTAAAGGAAGGAAGTGTCACATCAACTGAAGGAAAGACAAATGGAAAACCGAAAAGTCATCAGTAAAATGTTGCTTCAACGGCACAAAAGAAAGTCTTTTTTTGCATCGAATTGTGACTGGCGGTGAAAAGTGGATTTATTTTGAGAATCCCAAACGCACAAAATCATGGGTTGATCCAGGTCAACCATCAACATCGACTGCCTCCATTGCTTCAGCCGCTAAGACCAAAAATCCTGAGGTTGTTCCCAACGCCTCCTTTCCCTCCCCCGCTCTCACCTACAACATCCAAAAATCTACACGGCCCGTCTTTAAAAATGGACCCAGAATCCAACTTCTTCCACCGCCACAGTCACCTCTCCTGTCCAACAACTTCCATCTGGATTAGAGCAGTTGCCTCCTCCTCGGCTCTGACTCCTCCCTCAGCCCTACAATCTGTCCTCCATGTGCAGCCAAAAGAAACCGATTTCATCCAGGAGAGACCAACTCCTTCTTGTCCAACCTCCATCTGCCTCCACAACAGATGCCCCACTTCTTAGGCAGCAACAGTACAGGTATGATTACTGACCCCCTGCTCTTCGTTCTTAAAAAGAATGGAGACCTGCCCTAACCGGGTTGGCTCAGCGGATAGAACGTTGGCCTGCGGACTCAAGGGTCCCAGGTTCGATTCTGGTCAAGTGCATGTACCTTGCTTGCGTGCAGGAGGCAGCTGATCGATGTTTCTCTCTATCCCTCTCCCTTCCTCTCTGTAAAAAATCAATAAAATATATTTAAAAAAAAAAAAAAAAAGAATGGAGACCTGCCCTGGCAGGTGGTTCAGTGGTTGGAGCACTGTCCTGTATGCCAACAGATTGCAGATACGGACCTAGTTTGGGGGTTTGATTCCTGGTCAGGACGTGTAGGCGATCGATGTTTCTTACATCAATGTTTCTCTCTCTCAAGTCGATAAACATATCCTCGGGTGAGGATTTAAAAACAAATTATTCAAATAAAAAAGTAAAAATAGAAAAAGGAAAGAATGGAGATCTGCACTGCCTCCCGTATTCCCAGCTTCATGGCACCTCCAAGCATTTGCACCTGCTGGTGTCGGCCCTGGGTTAACCTCCCACACCTGCTTACACTGGTTGCCAGAAATGGGAGTCCCTTCGTGTCACCTGTGCCCCGTCCCTCAGGACACAGGGATTGGGGGTATCCCAAGGGTCCCCACATCCAAGAGATGGGAACATACCAAGGGGAGAGTCTGCAGACACCACAACCTCAGACGGGCTCAGGTGTCTCTAACGGTCTCAGACCCAACATCTTGGAAAAGAGATGAACTTGGCCATCCCAGACATCACATGGGTGGTGTCAGGACCACGGAGGGGATTGGGACACCCTGTCCTTCCTTGTGTGGGTTCTAGAAGTGGCTTTTCAACCTTGGGGACCTGTGGGAAGACACAGACAACCACCCTTTGGTGCCAAGGGAGCGGGTCTCCGCTGAATCCCCGGCCGCCCTGGAGTCTGGTGCCCTCTGACCAACTCTCTGGCCTCAGTGCTGCCCGTGTCAGCTGTGAGCTTGGGCAAGAACACAACTCTCAGGGCCTCCTCACTCCCATCCCAGACTTGCTCTCTCTCTGAGCAGCTATTTTTTTTTTTTCTGAGCCGCTTTTGTAAAACATTATAAAGCCTGTCACAGCTCTAGCCGGTTTGGCTCAGTGGATAGAGTCTGGCCTGTGGACCAAAGGGTCCTGGATTCGATGTGTTTTTCTCACATGGATATTTGTCTGTCTTTCCCTCTCTCTCAACATCAATGGAAAAATAGCCTCGGGTGTAGATTAAAAAATCCTGTATGGCCCTAATGGGTTTGGCTCAGTGGATAGAGCGTCGGCCTGCGCACTGAAGGGTCCCGGGTTCGATTCTGATCAAGGGCATGTACCTTGATTGCGGGCACATCCCCAGTAGGGGGTGTGCAGGAGGCAGCTGACCGATGTCTCTCTCTCATCAATGTTTCTAACTCTCTATACCTCTCCCTTCCTCTCTGTAAAAAATCAATAAAAAATATATTTTAAAAAGCCCTACATGTTAAAAAAAAAATCCTGTATAATAAAAACCTAATATGCTAAGTGTCCAGTTGTCTGGTTGGCCGTTCAACCACTCAAAGTGTAATATGCTAGTGACATGCTAAGGCTGCTCAAGCACTCGCTATGACGTGCACTGACCACCAGGGGGCAGA